GAATGGGAAGATTTAATTTAAAGAAATATTGGTAGAAAGATGGAACGGCTGAATGAGGACCCGAGGGGATCTGGAAGGGGCAGAAGCAAGGGTGGGACCAGTCGTGGCAGTGGGAGAAGGGACACGAGGGAACGTGGGTGGGATCCTGGCTCCTTCAGAGACACCAGGCTGGAGGGAAAAGCAGCCAGAGGCTCCGAAGGAACTTGCTGGAAGGGTAGCATTCCCAAAGCCGGCCAAGGACAGACGCTCACAGGGTCCAGCCCCCGTGGTACAGGCAGACTGCATTTGTTGGGTCTTAGTTTCTCCGATGAAACACAAATGGGAGGGGTTTCTGCTGTCTCTAGCATGGCGTCTGGCGAGGTCTCTGGTGACCGTGGTGTTTCTCTCCGGAAAGGCCGGTTACACACCGAGCAGGGCCTGCGGATTAGAGGCCTAATGTGTGTTCTTGGCTTTAATTAACGTCCATTCTGATCTCTTTCCGGGGACAAGAGCTGGCCTTCTCACTTCACTGATCCTGCAAGGACTTGGGGATGCAGAGTAACAAGGAGGAGGCAGGGTCGCCTCCCTCTATCCCCTCCCAGGGAGAAGGGACATGCATTCTTGCCCCTCCCCACCCCCCGCCCGGAGCTGGGCTGCCTCTGCAGGTCACTGTTTATTCAGACCCAGGTGCCCTTCTTTTCAGTCTCTGGCGGGACAGGGTGATGGCCCAGCCCAGCCACCGTGCCCTTTTCTCCCCCTTGCTGATGTAATGGGGTACTGGGTGTGCTTTGCTTTGGTCGCCTGCCTGAGGCCCTTGGTAGAAGGTGATGACACTCTACATCTCAAGATTGTGGCTGTGGCCTCCTGCAGAATCCGGCCCAGCTTCGCGACTCTGAGCTGCGCCGGGAGACGACACTCACTCCACTGCTACAGAAGTGGTACCTGCTTCCCCATTTGCTCCCGCTCCTTATGACTCAAGGTCCTTTGAAACGTGCCGGGCAGGATGGGGCCAAGACAGGGCCATACATTCCCGAGCTCCCCGGAGCTAAGAACGCTTGCGACAGCCACCCGGATTCCTCACCACGGCGATCCCAGTACACCCGCCGTGAACAGACAACAGACCCCGTATTGAGTGTAACTGTGCTTTGAGGAGGCCAGGCTACAGACGGTTTGAGTCCTACTTGGAAAGTGTATATATTTGCATCCTAATTGCATCAGTGCTTCCGAACCTCTCCGCGGGATTCTGATCCACAGGATCCAACGTGATAAATTGCACGGATGCAGCACATGCCTAAGCGATGAATTTGGCACAGAGTAGATCCCGTGGAGAGTGCGCGCAAATGCACGAAGTAAAGACTATTTCGGAGAGTTGGTGGCACGGAAAGCATATGTCCAGGTTGTTAGAGCCGAACACAAAAGAGGAAAATCTAATCTTTCATCCATCAGCCAGTCAGAAGGCAAACTGGTCATTTCCCCAAATGGCACTTCTCTTCAACAAACAGTGCCCATAAAAGCAGGGGCTCCGAAACTTTAAGAGGCCATAAAGACCTTGGCAATGGCACAGGGCTGTGAGAACACAGACATGAATAAATAAAACCCAAAGCTGCCGTTGAGACACAGCCGAGTCTGGAAGGATGTAGATGGACAGACTCTGAGAGGAGAGACACAGGGACCGCTCCACCTGACAGCATGCACTTGAACCGGGGGGTAGCCGCCCACCCAGCACCGGCTCCCCCAAGCCCTGAGCGACCTCTGGTCTGCCCTTCCCATCCAGCTGTGCACGGAAGACCGGATGCAGCATAAAACCAACGCCATCTGTGGGTCACCAAATAGCGACCTCGCTGAGCGACTCACGGGCCCCCAGACGCTGTCCTCTGAGGAGGGAGAAGACAGGAACCCGCGGCTGGGGATGGAGGCACACAACGCCCTGAGTTAGCCAGTTCACATTCAGCCACCAGACAAGGTGCTTCAGGCAGAGAGAACCACTCGTCTGGGCTCTGCTCTCAGTGGCGTTCGTGGGGCGTGCTCTCTATGGGGCAAGTCTGACATCGAATGCTGGATTTCTCTATTGAGAACCAGCTACAAAGACCCTGCAGCCTGCTTGTGCTGAGGTTTTGTCCTCGATTTAAAAAAAACCTTTTCCCCGAGGACTTGTGAGCGGGGGACTGTAAAGAATTGCAACGAGGCCCTTGAAGTCGGACAGAATTAACATGACTCATTCCTCCTGCTGGATCTCGACAGGACACTTGAAACCCAGACCACAGACACTTAGCTGCTTTCCCAGGGCTGCATGTCAAGGCTACAAGCTTGGTTAAGCTTCAGGGATGATTTGCGATAGAATTAGAGTTGAAGTTTGGGGTTTCTGTGTGTGTGTGTGTGTGTGTGTGTGTGTGTGTGTGTGCGCGCTCATGCGTCTGTGGTGGCAGTGGGGGAGGGGGTCTTATCTTCACCCGCAAGCACACCTTTCCAATCAAGTGCCCAAATACACATTTATTCTATGCACTGAAACAGTACAGGCAAACAAGACCCGGGGTGGCTGGACGGATAGAGGTTCCATGAAAGCCGCTGGAGGGAGGCAGAGTTTAGGACACAGGAGTCTCTGCCTCAGTTTCAGCAGCGCTGGGTGGCGGAAGGACATGAGAAAGATGAGGCAGAAGGAGACACGAACCTATGAGAGGCGCCTGGGTGGCTCAGTCGGTGAAGCGTCCAACTTCGGCTCAGGTCATCATCTCACCGTTCGTGAGTTCCAGCCCCACTCTGGGCTCTGTGTCTGCCTCTCTTTCTGCCCCTCCCCTGCTCATACTCTGTCTCTCTCTCATTAATAGATAAACATTAAAAATTTTTTTAAATAAGTAAACCTATGAGAGTCACTGTAGCTTCCCTGGGCGTGTACCACATGCCTGCACCACAAGTGATGGACCCTCATCCTCAGAGAGGCCAGAAGACAGGTCTGATCCTCTGCCTTGTGGGTAAAGAAACCGAGGCTCAGAGACGACGAGTTAAATGTAGCCGTCCTCCCCTCCTCAAAAATCATAAAGGCTGTGACTGCTTCTGAATCACGGGAATATCAAGTTAGGAAATCTCTGATTTTTGCCTGAGTTCAAAACGAGTCCATGAGGACCGTCTAGTCCGTTTGGGCTGCACTAACAGAATACCACAGTCTGGGGGCTTAAACAACAAGCTTTCACTCCTCACGGTTCTGCAGGCTCCAAGCCCAAGATCAAGTCGCAGGCAGATTCTCTGTCTGGTCAGGGCCCGCTTCCTGGTTCACAGACGGCTGCCTTCATGCCTCACACGACAGGGGCGCGGGGCGGCTCTCCCCGGTGTCTCTGTGAGGGCAGTCATCCCATCCTGAGGGCTCCCCGCTCACGAACCACTCACCTCTCAAGGCCCCACCTTCTATTTCCATCACCTCAGACAGGAATTTGGTGGAAGACACAAGCGTTCTGTCTGCCACATGGACCAAGCAAGCAACACGATCTGGGGACCACATGATGCTGGGCAGGAGGGACCCTCCTGTTCCTCAGTGGGGAGGCATGGAAGTTCATGGTCCTGCGGTATCATTTTCTACATTACACTGAGGCAAGCTAATTTTTTTTTCATGCTCGTAAACCCCACTTTTTCCCAAATAAAAACCTCTCTCCTTATTCCTATGTGAGGAAACATATTTTTGAACCCCTCCTGTTTGTCCAACACGACACCACATGCTTTGATATTTAACCCTCACGATACTCCCAAGAGGCTGGCGTCCCATTTGGCGGATGAGGATGTGGAGGCTCCGAGAGGTTAGGTCACCTGCCCAAAGTCACAGAGCGAACCACGGTCTAGTCGACTCCAAAGCCCATGTGTGCCCCTTCCCAGCTCATACTCTGTCTCTCTCTCAGTAATAGATAAACGTTAGATAGATAGATAATCGACTGCCACGTCTCCATCCATGGTGGCAGGAGCAGAGGGTGCCAATGAAAAAATTCTCAGGCCGAGGCTGCCGTCAGTGACGGGACCAGACAGCAGGTGCTGCTCCCTCCTGCCAATGGTGGGGAGGAGGAAGGGGGAGAAGCTGTTTCCAGCAAGGGGCCATGATGGGGTGGCACCGGACCCCTCGGTGGGACTCCCAGGGGCCACAGTATAGACTGGAGGGATGGTGGCTGGGGCGGCAGCAGCCACTGTATTTTGGGTGTCACAGGTTGCTTGCAAATGCCTGGACTGATACTCTGATGGCAACACAGAAGGGACACCTGAGTTGATCCCCGTATGATCCCCCGGATCCCTGTTGATCTCCCTCTGCCCCGAGTGTACATCTGGTCAACCTGATGGGTCTAATAAGTCACTAGCATTGAGCTGACCTTCTCCATCGTGAGCACCTGCAGAGGACCGCAGTCTGCATTTACCGGTGTCTAACTGAAGCCGCCCTGGGGTTTCCACCACAGAGCCTGGGCATGTGGCAGAGCCGGCTGAGAGAAACCCACTCACCCCCTGGTCAGACACTGAGAGGCCCCTTAGGCAGCCTGCTGCTTGATGTGCTAGAAACGTCCCGGGCTTCTGCGAAAGACTTGTTTTCAAATCTTGGCTCTGCCACAAGCTGTGTGACCCTGAGATAATTACATGACCTTTCTGTATTCTCATCAGCAAACCTGCTCCATGCGGCTCTAAAGCAACGAAATGGAATTGCACCTGGAACGGTACGCAGCATGATGGGGCTCTAAATGACAGTGCGACGCGTTCATGGGCGAGAATGCTCCTCCACCCTCCTTGTCAGGGACCCCCCCCAACATTACACACGGACCTGCCTTGGCTTCAGTGTTCGGCCAAAAGTTTCAGGGCTGTCATCTCTGGGTAAGACAAGAAGGCTAATGTGTATCTGATAAGCGAATCACACCCCCCACCCTATGAAGGAAGGAGAAAGACAGACAGAGAGAGAGGGAGGGAGGAGAGGAGAGGAGAAAAATGAAAAGAAGAGTATTGGGAGGGAAGGGAGGGGGTGTTCAGGGAGAGTAGGAGCAGGTTTTCCAAGAAGGACCCCTCATCCCTTGGTGTGGAAGTTCCAGAGAGGTTTGGGGACACTCGAGGAGAGTTTGCTGTGGTTTGGAACCTGATAGTGGAACAGGACGTTGAGGGGTCTTGGCTAAGGGCTTACAGGAGAGAGAAAAACCGCATGGGAAACAGCTATGCAGTAACGGCAGGAGTCCACCAGCACTGTTGCCTGAAGCAGTGGGGAAAGTAGAAAGTGAACCTCACACATGGGGTCATCTGGCCAAGGAGACAGTCTGAACTGTCTGACTTCTTGCTGCTCTGGGAAGAGGCGAGAGGGAGGAGTGAGCTAAAGGGAGGGCCGTTAAACAAAAGGGAGCCAGGTGTCCTGGTTTGGGAGATTCTCCACCTCTCCAGATGCCAAATGGTGCTAAAATGAGGAAAGGGCGAGGCGCCTGGGTGGCTCAGCCGGTTGAGGGTCCGACTTTGGCTCAGGTCATGATCTCACAGTCCGTGAGTTTGAGCCCCACATCAGGCTCTGTGCTGACAGCTCAGAGCCCGGAGCCTGCTTCGGATTCTGTGTCTCCCTCTCTCTCTACCCCTCCCACTCTCACGTTCTCTCTCTCTCCCTCTCTCAAAAATAAATAAACATTTTTTAAAAAATGAAGAAAGGGCTCTTCCAGGCCAAAGACAAGTGCAGGGCTCTGCCAGAAAAATCTGGTCTAAAGATGAATCCAGGAGTGTGATTGGGTCTCTGTTTGAGCCGTAACAAAGAGCAAAAACCACAGACGGGGTGGCTTAGCCAACTCTGTCTTCTGCAGGGCTGATATTACAGTTGAGCTGTTTTGTTTTTTTTTCTGATGGAATGAGCCCCACAAAGATTTGCAGGATACCCACAAAGTCTTACAGAAAAGTGCAGTGGAAGAAACATGGCCAGCTTGGGCTGAAAGGGACAGAGAACACACATTGAAAAGATGCCTTTGGACCCTGAGCCTTGCACAGGTGGAAAGCGGGCTGAGAAAAGGAGGCCCCCAGGACAAGGAAGGATGACTCAGAGGTAGAAACAGAGGACACAAGAGCCGGGGAAGATTATCCGCAGGAACCATCCACCGGCACCGCCTGTTTCAGAAGTGCTCCGTCCGAACCAGTCCGAACCAGTGACTTCGGCACATCCCCACCTTCCACCCCTGCTGAACAGGAGGGGCCACAGCATTACCCTATGCTTGTCCCGTCATTGTCTGTTGTTGAGTGTGGGAGGGGACAGATAGCTTGTGTCTCTGGTTCACAAATTTCAGATCGAAAAGACCTGGAGTTGAGGGCTCAAGGAGGCTCATCAGCGTGGACCTCGTTTGGATAAACTGATGCTCGACCAGGATGAGCCTCCGGGGGCCTTGGGAGAGCCTGGGCGCATTTTGCAATGTGGACAGGCCATGAATCGCTGCGGGACAGAGGGGGATTGTGGCACCCAGCCTCCAAGATGACCCTTAATGATCCCACCCTGTGACATTCTCAGGCTTGTGTTGTCCTTCCTTAGGGAATCGGAGTGACCTGCGGAACCAACAGCAAACCGCAGAACTCAAGTGCACAACTTCCAATGCACCTCTGACCTCGTGGCTTTCCCCTTATTCTCTGGGGGAAGCCAGCGGTCACACCACGAGGACACTCGAGCAGGCCTCTGCAAAGTCCCCACTGGTGAGGAACCGAGGGCTGTGCTGACAGTGAGCACAGACTCGCCTGCACGTGAGCCATCCCGTGGAGCAGATCCTGTGGCCTCCTTCAGACGGTCGCAGCCCCGCCTGACTTTTTTAATACAACCTTGTGAGAGAACCCAAGCCCTGGGATTCTTCTAAAATGCTCTTTAATCCCTGACCTACAGGAACCATGTAGAATAATAAACGCTTATTACTGGTTTAAGCCGCTGAGGTGTGGGGTAGTTTGCTACCCAGCAACAGACAACTATTACAGGATTGAAATAAACACATCAAACAGTTCATTCAATTCATTAACTAATGATGAAGACAGTACTGTAGTTCCAAGAGCATTTGAAGAACTTGATACTTACAGGCAATTTAATGAAGAGCCTCTAGAATCTGAGTGCTAGGTTAACACAAAATAATACAATGGGGCACCTGGGTGGCTCAGTCGATTGAGCGTCCAACTTCGGCTCAGGTCATTATCTTGAGGTCTGTGAGTTCGAGCCCCATGTTGGGCTCTGTGCTGACAGCTCGGGGGCTGGAGCCTGCTTCAGATTCTCTGTCTCCCTCTCTCTCTGCCCCTCCCCCGCTCATGCTCTGTCTCTCTGTCAAAAATAAATAAACATTGGGGCGCCTGGGTGGCGCAGCTGGTTAAGCGTCCGGCTTCAGCCAGGTCACGATCTCGCGGTCCGTGAGTTCGAGCCCCGCGTCAGGCTCTGGGCTGATGGCTCAGAGCCTGGAGCCTGTTTCCGATTCTATGTCTCCCTCTCTCTCTGCCCCTCCCCCGTTCATGCTCTGTCTCTCTCTGTCCCAAAAATAAATAAACGTTGAAAAATAAAATTTAAAAAAATAAAAATAAAAAAAAAATAAATAAACATTAAAAAAAATTTAAACACAAAATAATACGAAACTGGGTTATCTTTTCCACCAAGTAAATTATTTTCATTTGTGTCAGTCAAAAATCTAAAGTCCATATAGAACTTCTGAGACCTTTAATCAACAGAAAAGAGTGGAGCGGAGTAGTTCTTTGTTGGGAGAGGCTGGACTGGACATGGTGGGACAGTTACCAGCATCCAGGTCTCTCTCTGCTACTTGTCAGTAACACCCCCTTGCTCCCTGCCAGTCACAACAATCCAACATGTCTGTAGACGTCACAATGTCCCCTGGGGGACCCAGGGTGGGGAACCACTGCCTCACATAATTAAATAATCCTTGGGCAGACCTATCAAATGATGCTCACTTGGACACTGAAATGTCACTTTTTGGTCTCATTTCCGAGTTTTCAATACTTTTTCTTAACAAGCATCTGTGAGCCAGGAACTGAGGAAGGGGGCAGGAATGAACTGGTAAAGAGGGCCCACACTGTCGGAGAAGGGCATGGGGTCAGGGCGTCTGCGGGTAAGCCACATGGTGCTACACACAGAGGCTTGTCTCCAAGCGGCTCTGGCGGGGAGATGACTTGTTAGCTGATCAAAGGCAGGCAGAAGAACAGGTAGAAAGGAAAGGAAAGGCAGGATGCCCACAGAGTACCCTAAGTGAGATTCTTTGGGTTTTGTTTGTTACTTTTGAAAATTACGTTAAACATGCAAGCAGTAATTACCCAGCAAAAAGAAGAAATGTGAATTCCCCATTGGGGCAGACAGATTCCTTGTTTTGAAAGGAACCATTAAATGAATTCCTTAAATGAATTCCCCCTTAAACTGATGGGGGATAGAAGCAGGGAAATGTTCACCTTTAGCCCAGAAGGCTGACCTATAGCCTGCATAATTTCAATAAGGATCAAATATGTACTGCTTGCTACCTTTTTTTTTTTTTAATGTTTATTTTTGAAAGAGAGAGGCAGAATGTGAGCAGGAGAGAGACACAGAGAGAAAGGGAGACACAGAATCCAAAGCAGGCTTCAGGTTCTGAGCTGTCAGCACAGAGCCCGACGTGGGGCTCGAACTCATGAACCATGAGATCATGACCTGAGCCAAAGTCAGACGCCCAACCAACTCAGCCACCCAGGTGCCCCTGCTTGCTACCTTCTTAAAGAGTCTCATGACTGTCTGTAAATCTCACCAATAGTTAATGTCGAGCTGAATGATAAGCAGAGAAATTTTGCAAAATCAGTTTTATGAGTAGAAACTTGAAGAAGATATTTATGATCTAATGATCATATGCCTCCCCATCCCGCCGACTCACTTAAGCACTAAGCATATAACCACCAGCTTCACACAGCAGCAGCACCACCCTTTCTGCCCATGGGTCCCGTCCCTGTGCTACTTAAATAAACCTACTAAGTTGCACCAAACACTGTCTCAAAAATTCTTTCTTGGCCATTGAGTTCTACAATCCCGCAACAAAACCAGAACATGAAGCTTTGATGACTAAATATAAAGCAAATACTCACCATGCTTCGTGTTGAGTCTGTTGTCCTCAATGTGCATGGTTGAGGCTAAGAAGCTCCACGTTCTGTGTAGGGTAAATGGCACAATCAGAATTGTACCTGAAAAAACAATTTAATTGGTCAGTAGGGGGCTGAGAAATTGGGTTGCAGTGACTGTACCTGCAGCCTATGGGGTGATGTTTCAGCAGAAGGCCAGACAAAGTTGGAGAATTCCCCCACAAGGGAAGGGAGAAAGTCCAGAGCAGGGAACCTGGGTGGGGCTTGTAGCCTTTGGGGATGCTGTGGCCCTAAGCTTCATTTTAAGGCCCAGTGAGGGATTGTGTTGGACAATCATGTTCTGATGGACCAGTTTTGTCAATGACCAGAAGGCAAGGGAACAGTCCTGGGGCCAAAGGGGTATGCCTCAAACTTAGGGACCATTTCTGTTGTCAGTCATCCTGGGAAAAGTCTGGTCTTGAGACAGGAAACAAGGATCAGGGAGGCCAGCCTCTGATGGGAGAGATGGCCATTCTTTCTGGACCTCTGAGCAGCTGGGCTGGCCCTTGAATAAAAAATATGCCCAAAGCTTTCCTAGGGGAGGGAGGTGGTCCCTCCTTCCCATGAAGACCACTTGGAAGTCATGTAGGAGAGCCCTGTAAAGGACCCCAGGACAGACCCACCTAGAGACTCTAAAGGTAGCCACATCCAGGAGGCTTATCCCTTATCCATGCTGTACCTCCTTCCCCCTCTTTCTCTCTAGCTCGTCAGCACAGACTGGTTTCTGTCATGGGTAGGCATTTAAGGGAAAAGCCTGTCCTGTGCCTGAAACTCAGTGCCAAGTGCCAAACCTAGCGTGCTGGTAAGGACAGCAGCCTGAGGGAGAGAGACCGTGGCCTGGCCCAATGACAAACATGAATGCTATACCACAACTGCTGAATCAGACCTCTGAGAGATCTCAGGAGACTGAGACCCTGGGCACGGAGGGGACCCAAGGCTAACAATTCACAAGATTAACAAGCAGCTGGGGAATTCATAGAAAGATGAAGTGTGGTTGAAATGTGGTCACAGACTGTGAGAGTGAGACATGATGAATGAGACAAAGGATAGATGATAAATAGACAGGTAAACAGACAGAGCTAGGTAGAGAGGATGGATGGATGGATGGATGGATGGATGGATGGATGGGTAGACAGACAGGCAGACAGAGCTACAGGTGGAGAAGATGGGTGGCTGGGTGGGTGAATGGATGGATGGATGGATGGGGGATGCGTGGGGATACAGGCAGACAGAGCTACAGGTGGAGGCTTGATGGTGAAGGAATTCAGAGATGATCACTGCAAAGGAGGCCACTTTGGCACATTGATTATTTTGAGTTAAAAGAACTGAAGAAACAGCAGGTGTAAGAAAGATACTTGCACCCTCCTTTTTCTTCCCCAAAGCAAGAGATAAACGCCCACATGAAAGTGCTCTCCCTGTTCCAGGAGGAAAGAAACATTCTTATCACCAGAGACAGGGAAATGGGTGCCGAGAGATCTATACACTCAAATATTGTTAAACAGACCCGTATCTTCCTAGACACTTCTTCACAATTTACCACTCCTAGCCCAAACCCCTTTGTCTTTTCGATAAATAAAAATGTATTGTCTCTTGGTCTAAAAGGTATGAACGCTTCCTGTTCTGGTCACATCTTTAGGTCTTCATTACCTTGAGAAGGTTCCCACATACATGCAAATATATATTTTTTAATGTTTATTTTTGAGAGAGCATGCGTACGAGCAGGGGAGGGGCAGAGAGAGACAGGGACAGAGGATCCGAAGTAGGCTTTGCTCTGACAGAGAGAGCCCGATGCAGGGCTCAAACTCCTGAAATGCAAGATCATGACCTGAGCCAAAGTTGGACACTCAACCAACAAAGCCATCCAGGTGTCCCATACATGCAAATATTTAATTAAGCTTAAATTAAATCTCAGACCCAGCTGTAGACCCAAAGAGGGTAGAGGAGAATCCTTCCTCCTCTATAATAGGTACGTATTGATATAGATATACGATGCATAGAAAGATAGATAGATAGATAGATAGATGATAGAAGGAAGGGAAAGAAAGAAAGAAAGGAAGAAAGAAAGAAAGAAAGAAAGAAAGAAAGAAAGAAAGAAAGAAAGAAAGAAAGAAAGAAGATGGAAAAAAGAAAGGAAGAATGAAAAAATGAAAAAGAAAGAAAGAAAGAAAGAGGAAGAAAGAAAGAAAAAAGGAAGGAAGGGAGATAAAGGGAAGGAGATTATGGAGGAAACATTTATATTTATTATCTGCCTAAAATATGGACAAGGGGCAAAGTAAGGACATGAAAACAAATGAAAACCACAGAAGGCAAATCACTTGCTTTGCTCCCCACGATCCAGAAGGAGTTGCAGAGGCAGAGTTCAAAGCTTCCTGGGCTTTCTCTCCTCCAGGTGTGTGTGATGGAGACATTTCAAAGCAGTTGCACCCAACACCAACCAGGAGGTCACAATGCAACATGAACCAGAAGTCTGAGAGCCACAGGGTCGGCCCATTCCTGTCCAGTAGGTCACAGGAAAGGCGTTATGCAGGGGAAGTCGTCCAGAAGAGGCCTGAGGGAAGCTGGACATTGCTAGTGTCACCATAGCCATAGGGTTCCTTCAGGACGGCGCCTCTGCCCTTCACCCGCTTCCTACAGAACGGGAAGGGTATGATATTTGGCCTGCTTCCTGAGGGCATATCAAGCAGCCCACACAACTATTCTAAAGAATGTGGCTATTTGGGGATAAAAGTCCCTGTGTAGGGCTAACTAATGTCACTGCATAACCACACAAGGCCTCCGGAAACATGTCAGCCAAGTAGATTATGCCAGTGAGCAGGAGAGGGCTTTTGTGACCAAATGGAGCCCCATGGGGCGTTAAGAGTTCTAATCTTCTGTGAAAGGCCTAACTAGGGGAGCTCAGCCATATGCAATGTGTGTATTTTTCTACACATAAAGCTGATTATCTACCATTACCTGGAAACAAGGAGAAATTACTTGTAATTATTCTAGACTAAAAAATAGCAAGTTTTGGAAGTTTCTTTGACTACCCCCCCCACACACACACACCATGCCCTTTAATAGGTCTAAAGAGGAAATAATACCGAGTTGACTTGGAGTGACGCAGTGGATGACAGCGTGCCTCACATCTTAAGATGAGGTGGGCGAGAAGGATCTACCTTTAAAGAACTCCAATTAAAGTAATTACCATTGTTACCAAAATTACTGTTTTTAAAAGACCGGAGTCCTCTATCGGAGAACACTTCAGAAAGCTGTGGAAAAAACCCACATGACCAGCACGATTAGGGAGAACAAAAGCCAAACATTGTTTAAAGCCAGCTGCTTAAATCCTCCCATGCCTCCCGTTCCATGGTGGGAAGTCACTGTTCCTGAAAGCCTGTCATACTTTCTTAAGTTTTCAAAGAGCTGACAGCAGTATTCCCCGGGGTGGGAGGGTGACACACACGTGAGCGGGGCTGCATGTGGCAGGTCACGCAGGGTGACGGCTGTCGCCTTCTGTCCCCTCAACTTCTCTTCAGACAAGGCACAACCTGTGGTTCCTTGTTCTGGGCCGAGGGGTGGATGGACCACTCTGGGCACCTGGGCTTGAGACTCCAAAATTGCAGGGGTGTGAGGAAATGATACCAGGCAGGGACGGCCACCCTGCAGTGGCAGAGGGTGCCAGAAGGTAGTCCAGAGCCCATCTGGGCTAACCTTTGTGCTCTTGACCTGATGCTAGAAAGACCTAGATGTTGGTAGGGATGCCCTCAGATTATGAGGGTAAGGACTGATATTTTCTGTAAAATACCCTAAAAATGAACTAGTAGGAACATAAAATTAATAAAACAAAGAAATGCAAAAAGTAAACCCCACAACATTGTTATTAGGCTCAACGGACAATAAAAATTACTCACTGCACTTGCTATAAAAGTTTCTAGGGGCGCCTGGGTGGCGCAGTCGGTTAAACGTCCGACTTCAGCTCAGGTCACGATCTCGCGGTCCGTGAGTTCGAGCCCCGCGTCGGGCTCTGGGCTGACGGCTCAGAGCCTGGAGCCTGTTTCCGATTCTGTGTCTTCCTCTCTCTCTGCCCCTCCCCCGTTCATGCTCTGTCTCTCTGCGTCTCAAAAATAAATAAACATTAAAAAAAAAATTTAAAAAAAATTGGAAAAAAAAAGAAGTTTCTAAAAGCTTGCTCTCAATTTCTGTACTTCCCCTACCGCAGTCCGGGCCCATCCTTTCATCAGCTCTGGTCCAGGACAGCATATCCCAAAGTCGTCGCTGGAATATTCTGTCACCCAAGGTGATCTCAGGGAGACAGTTCCACTGGTCAAATGAGGTGTGGAAAATACTACATCTCCTTTTGGACAGTCACAATGCATGGGGGCATATTAAAGCCTCTGAGAAATCCTGTTTCTTTTTTAATGTGTATTGACATATTTTGAGTGGGGGAGGGGGAGGGGTAGAGAGAGAGGCCCACCTGGTCACTGTCAGTGCAGCCCAATTCGAGACTCAAACCTACAAACTGAGATCGTGACCTGAGCTGAAATCAAGAGTCAGATGCTTAACTGACTGAGCCACCCAGGTGCCCCTATCCTGTTTCAAAAGAAGCAAAAACTACTTGCATTGAGCCCAGTTTTCCAAGTTTATTTGCTTACTTTCTCTCTCTCTCCTTTTATTTGTTTACCGATTAACTCATTTTTGCGTAACACACCCAATATTTGCCTAACAACATCCTACCAATCACACGCTAAGAAATACTTGCCTGGGGGTCCGGCCTCAGCAACGGCCCAGCCTCGGGCAAGTGGGTCAGGAATGCCGGACTCCAAAGTGGAAGATCCCAGGGGTCAGCAAGTCTTTATCTCAGCCCAAGGGGACTCCACAGTGGTGACATCTGGACCCATTTGCAAACGATGCCAAACTGTCCAACGAATTGCTCTTGGTGAAACTCAGGTTCCTCTTAACTGTTCAGCGGAGGCAGATAAGAAGCCTGGCTGTTACTGCTACTGCACTTTGGAAATCGCCTGACACATTGGGATGGGGCGGCCTTTAGAGAAAGTCTGTGCACAGAATAAGCTCCATCAAGTGTAACGGGACTGCGGGTTACGCTGGGGACCTGCAACGCACCAGCTACAGTGACACTGTTTATCCTTCCCTGGGTTCACTCAAGCTAGGCCCAGGATGGGTTTTCCTAATTAGCTGGCATCAGGCAAACATCGCATGGTGCAATCAGTGTCCTTACAGGAGGCTTTCGAACACCACTTGGAAACACACTGGAATGCGCTAAGCCTCCCAGCCCCCCTCTAACAAATCAATTATCTACAGTCCAGTTTCCGCACACGGAACCCCAAGTGCCACTCACACCGGGGTCAGTAGCATGAGAGTCTGGTGGTGCCGGGACTCGACTGCTATCGGTTTTAGCAGTCACAGAGACAACTGGTGGCCAGCATTCTAGTACCCAGACCGCCGTCTTTCAAAGACAGGACTTCTCCGCTGTGGCATTAGAAATCAAAGGCACACCAAAGTCAAGGCCCCTTTCTGGTCTCCCGCTCAATCTCTTCAGTTTCCTGCTCCCCTAACACTGTCTTGTACCCCTGTGGCATCACCACTTTACCATCTACTCTCAGATAAGCCATCCCGAGTCACAGAAAAGTCTTTCTAGGCACAGGAGGTTTCCTGGTAACCACACAGGCGTAGTATTTAGTCTCAGAACATTGAGCCACCTGTCCGCGTGTCACATCACCCCTCCACACATGAACGGCCAGCCACTGCAGACAGCAAGAGACTTCTCGTTGACGCTGGCGTGATTGGGAAGGCCCCAGACGACGTCGCAGGCTCCTGCGTGGTTATGAAACATGCCAGAAGATTCTTAGCTATGCCTCCCAGCAAAAGGTGGATGCCGACTCCCCTCCCTGTGAATGAGGGCCAGGTGGGGGCACTCGCTCCTGACAGACTGCAGCAGGAGAGACGGCTCAGAAAAGGGGCACAGCTTCCTCCTGGCTGTCCCTGTCTCTGGGGACACCTGAGCTGCCACATGGGCAGTACCACTAACTGGAAGACACCATGCTGGACAGACCGTGAGTGGAGACCACACAGAGAAATGCCTGAGGAGACAGAGCTCCCCTGTGCCACACGTGGGAGTGAAGAATCCTCTGAGATGCCCTCAGCGGTTTCTAAACTGTGTGAGATAATACACGTTCATGGTTGTTTTAAGCCATGAAGTTTGGGGTGATTTGCTACTCGGCCATAGGTAACTAACACACTCCTCGACTGGGCCACAACCGGTGCCCTTTCTACTTCTCTTTTCGCACCACACACTGTTGGCCTGTTGAAGACTCCCCCAGATGGAGGAGCCCAGGGACAAAGGAACATCTGAGCACACCTGGTCTCACAGACTTAGCCTTGAACTGCTCCTCCCCACTGCGCACACTCTCTTCATGCTGCTCCCCTCCTCAGTGCTCACTCCTATTTTCTACTTGAGACACCTGTAATTATGGTCACTTGGTTGCTAACTTTAACACTATGTTCCCCTGACCTGTCAAGCTTCGCTCTCTCATGCGCCTGCCATGCACCTGCTGGACTGATGTACCCCATCCCGCACAAGCGAGGAGCACTGGGCGGTCCGGGCGTGGCTGGCTGGTGCCTACAGGGTCCACATGCTTCCTTGCTCTCTCACTCTGGTGTTTCTGGAGCATCCACGAGCCTCCAGGAGCAGAACAAAGCTGATAATCTCTCACTGTTCAGTACAAGCAAGGAGAGAAAACTCTTATCTTCATTAACAGGGTGATGAGCCAATACCAACCAGGACGTCGTGCAGTTGAGACAGAAAATATAAACAGAAAAGATCTACTTTGTTGTTGTGGTGGTTGCACGAGGTCTTGCAAGGCTGTGAATGGGCACGGTTACCAATTTTCTTCTCTCTAAAATAGAGATGATAATAGTGCTGTCGTAAGGATTAAACCAGACCATGTGTGTGAGATGCTTCGCCCAGTGCCTGACACACAGGAAGAGTTCAATAAACGTAGGCTTCTCTTAGTCTCATTACGTATTATCTCGAGTTTAACATGCCCAGTACTGAGCTCTTCACACTCCCTCAGCACCTCCCACGTCTTCCCCATCCGGCTTAATGGCACACTGTCCTTCAGCTTAGGCAAAAAAAAACCCCAAACACCGGGTTTCATCCTGTCCCCTTTCCTTCTTTGAAATTCCGCACGCAGCCAAATGGCAATGCATTTTGGTTCTATCTCCAAAATAGATTCACAACTGACCACTTCTCACCACTGCATGCTCTTACCTCATCCAAGCTCTCATCACCTCCCCTTAGTTCATGGCCAAGATGTGCTGCCACCCCCTCACCCCCCTCAGCACCCGCCTGACTGGCTTTTTGACCAGCTGCAGGGAGAAGTGTGTTTCAACAGAAGTCACATCAACTTTTTTTTCCCCTCAAAATCCACTGGTTTCTGATCATTCTCAGATTAAAACCAAGTCCTAACAACCTCAGGATCTAATTATCTG